CACACACACACACACAAACGCTGCATATTATGTCTGTACAGGACCTATTGCGATTAGTGTAAAGCTAAGTTCTTGACCATAAGAATGTTTACAACAATCAGGATTTTTTGGGTCTTTTCCCCAGTCATCCTGTATAATTTTCTTTTTGTTGGCCTACGTTCTGTTCTACCTAAGACAACGTTAACTTGTGTTTTTGTCAATTTACCCCTCTATTTCTTTGTTTCCTATGATAACGCCCCTTGCCCCTTTGTATACTCACCGTCTTTATAAAAGGCCATTCTCTACGTTCTTATGCACAGTAGAATTGTAAATTGGCTGATTTATCAATGCCAATCTCACACTGTGCCAGAACAACATAGGGGGAGTCGCTGCTTTTTTCTTTCCTCATCCTTACTGTCATCATTTGCCTCTACTTCTTTTGTATGTTTGTCACACTCTTGTGAACTGCTATTTCCGGGGTGCCTTGATAGTCGAAGGAGACTGTGCTGTTGAGGCTAGAGAGGTGAGCAGAGTAAGCCTCATCATCACTTTCAAAATGCCTTCCTAGCCTTTTTAATCCTTTTTCAGTTTGGGGAATAAAAAAAGTCGAACGGGGTTAAATTTGGAGAATAGGATGGATGTGGCAAAATTTCATAACAACTCTCTCGAGCAGTTTCGGCAGCTTTTCTTGAAGTGTGTGTTGGCACGTTGTCGTGAAGCAGCAAAATGCTTTTCCGGATATTTCCTCTGCGTTTTTCTTTTATACTCTCTTGTAATGTTTTAGCTCGTTAGAATAATGGTCTCCGGAGATCGTATGTCCATTTTTAAGATAGTTTGTCATAATCACTCCTTCTTGGTTTAAAAACAAACTGATAGCAATACTTTTCGCCTTGATGGCTGCACCTTTGCCTTCTTTGGTGTTGGAGACGAGGGCGATTTCCAATAAATTCATGCAGATTTAGACTCAGTACAATAGTAGTAATCCACACGTTGCACTTTTTAAAGAGGAGTCAACAAACGTGGGACCAATCTCGCAGAAACGTTGGTCATATTCAAATGTTCATATAAGATTCGTTCAACTGATTCAATGCTAAGCCTAGTCTCTTTTCTCAAACGTTCGACTGTCACCTGTTTGTTAGACAACACAAGTTTCTTGAATTTCATTTTCAACACATTCTCTTCTGATGTTGCTGTCACTGGGCGACCATTACGGTGGTCATCTTCAACATTTGAGTTTTTTACAAGAAAATTTTTATCATAGCATAGGATGGGCAATCAGTACCATATACAGCATGCATCTCCATAAATTAATATCTTGAAGTTGCTTGCCTTGCAAGAACAAAAACTTCATTATTACCCTGTGCTCAATTTCCCCCTTTTTTTAATGTTGAAACTGGAGCACAACGTAACCCCATTCACTTACAGTGCGCTGGTGTTAAAACCAGAAAGTGGAAATTCCCCAAAATTAAGCTGCATTGTAGGAAGATAATCGTTGGGTTTTTCCCCAAATTTCAGCTTTTTACCTTTATTCCTTCATGGTCAGATAAAAAAAATCTTTTGGTATGCCCCTCATACTTTTACCAATTTCTCCAAAAAGAAACTTGCAAATAAATTAGATAAATATGATGAGAGGTCCAGCAAAAATGGATAATGGTGTTCACTGACAGCATTGTTCAGTAAAGAGCAAATAAAAATGACCGATTTGTACCATGAATGATACAATTTGGGTAGGCTCTGAAGAGCATCACTGTGTATCACCAATATAGTAGCTTGGTATAAACTTGAAAGAAACTCAACAGGTGCAGAAAGTGTATGTGTGTGTGCGTTTGTGTGTGTGTGTGTTTGTGTGTTTGTGTGTGTACGTTTGTGTGTGTGTGTATGTGCGTACGTTTGTGTGTGTGTGTGTGTGTGTGTGTGTGTGTGTGTGTGTGTGTGTGTGTTTATGTGTATATATAATTGCAATAGACGGTAATTAATGCGTCAAGGTCCCATCGACACAACTTACGTCATAACGATATTTATGGAAGACCTGCTCTTTCGACCCTGTCTGAGAGGGCCAACTTGGGCTGAGAAGGATGTACTCCCAGCACAAAGAAGACGGCACTTTGGAGGATCGGTTCGGTTGGGTTGGGTTCGGTTTCTGGCGGTTTCAGTGCACACTACAAATAGACCCCTACCTCCAACCGATCCCCCGACTCGCGGCCTTGAAAACAAACGCGTTTGTTTTTGAAGGTCCTCGTCGGTTTCGTTCGGTTTGTAGTTTGTGCCACGATTGTAGCTCCCCTCACCCCCACCCCTACCCCAACCCCAAGAGGAAAATCTGGCTAACCCCGAAGACCACATCGAACTGGACCGACCCGAACCGGACAGAACCGAATCAAACCAAACCGATCCTGTCAAAGGACACAGCAAATAATCAAATAGACGTCCTTCATTCCCTGTACGGGGATGAAATTCACGTCTATTTCACGCAACTACAAATAGCCATTCTACCACACACGCCAGTGCATGAGTGTGTCCACACACGATGTAATCGCGAGATGTAAGGACATCGTAATATTAATGTATCGAGATAAGTTTTGTGGATTTTTCAAAGGCCGAGACAGAAACGTTTGAAATCATTGTAGTTTATTACATATGATGAGCATATTTTAAAATGTATATACAAATCTGCAAGTTTGAAATATCATTAGTATAAATATTCATTAATTTTGGTATTACCCTGTAGTATCCAATCCAGTTTACGATATCAAGTGAAAAAAAGGTTAACGAATTTTGGCGTCCACTTTCCACTTTTGATGTTCACAATCATCAAGCTATATTTTTTACAACATGCTAAATGTGGTTTTCAAAAGTGTTCACTTAAATTGGACTCTCATCCCTGTCGATTTTCAAGATGCTGAGTCAAACGTTACAATTAGAAAACTTGATTTAACATATGTTGATCACACCAGTTTTTAACAATTAAGTTTTAAAAAAATAAAATGAGACAGAGAGAAGTCTCAGTGTGCAGAGCAGCTCATCCAATAGAAATACGACATCTTACGAGACAGGAACAAAAGAACATCACAGCACACATTATGTAGATACATTAGAAGTGTGCGTTTGTTGGTATCATGGCAGGGCTGTCAATATGAGCGATGCAATCTGCAGTGATCAGCTGCTCTGCCAATGTGATCTTTTCTACATAAAACATTGGTCACATGCGGGACAAAAAATGCTTGTGCCATCGAAATACATTTTAATGGATTGTGACAACTCAACGCTAAAAAAACGGGGAAAAAAATTAATTATAAATTCGTCTACGCGGTTAATAGTGTGGACGCTTCCTTTGAAAAACTGTGCCAAGCAACACTTAACCCTTGAAAGGAACCTTGATGAGTATAATTGCTAGATTTCAAAGTGATTCATAACCCACAAAACTGCATAGCCAATAGTATTTATTATTTTTAAGGTAGGTGTTTCTTCACCCCGTCGACACAATTTATGTCATTTAGGAGGCAGGCTTCCTACCTAGCCCGTTTGGGGCCAACCCAGGCTGAGAGGAATAGGAATAGATCCCAGCAGAAAGACTTAGACACTCGATAAAAGTTTTCTCCCGCCTCGGGAATCGAACTCGGGTCATCTGCGTGCGATACCGAAGCGTTTGACCTTTACACCACACAGGCTGGCATCTAAATTGTATATAGTGTCGATACAAATGTACAATGTATCATAAAGAGGGAAATGTTCATCCCTCCCCCCTCCCCCCAAAACATTTGAACAACACGAGTTATACGCCGTACTCTAGTGAGTTTCCCCTATGTGAGTGACAAAGATCATCTTCAGCAAGTGCCAAATCTACGACAGACTTCGGCTATCATGGTTCTCCATTCTTTCTTTAGCTCGTGTGTTCTCAAAAAAGCTATACCAACCTGATCTTTCCCGATCACTCATTTGTTTAGGCTTTCCAAGTAAGTTGTTCTGGGTCTACTATTGCTTCATTTTCCAGTGAGAGCTAAATATTCAAGATCGTCATGTCTATTCAAGTGTCCAAGAAATTGTATTAAAGCGTGTTTTTATGATCGAGCGGCCCATGTAGGCTTCTTCAAATGCTACCTCATTTCATTTCTTTTTTTCCCTAAAATTCTCATGTCCTAAGAAACCACACCTCAGTTGCTTCTGTTGTATTTTCACTGTCTTTGGTGATTGTCCTGCATTCACAACCATATAGAAGGGTTGACTACACATTGCCTTTTATAACTTTTTATTAATTTTGAAAGTCGTTTGGATATTTCTATTTTTCAGGATTGTGCTCATTTGATGGAATTGTGTTTAGCCATTTCTGCGACAAAGATACCCTAGTAAAAAGACACAATGGCATGAAAAATAGGCTACAAACAACGGAGATGGGAACCAGAGGTAGACTGGGGAAAGTGTAATCGCGGTGTAAAAAAAAACATGCCTACGATACAAGAACAAAATAGGAAAAGGTAGCTGCTCCGCGAAGCGCGTACATTGTAAAGACTTCTGATTTCAACATTTATTTAACAAAACAATAATGATGTACGAAGAAGCTTACAACCCAATTGGAAACTAGACTTTCTTCCCTTCTTTGTATACTCTCAGATGCCCAAAAGTTTAATCTCTTGAGAAACAATATCTGGGTCTTTTGTAAAGATTTTCAGCGTAAGATCTCAAAAGCTGTAGAATAAGAGGCTTGAAAAAAATTGAGGGAAAAAAAGAAATGAAATGGGTTAAATTCAGATGGAATCAAAACCCCTGTAGGTTACAGATGATTAAACAAAGTGATAATCGTAAACGCGTAATATTAAATCTAAATTAGCTATAGAGGCAGCAGGTGAAAGAAAACTCATCTGGGATGATTGTGTATGCTTGACAGATTATAATTATATTTCGTTTGATGTGAGCCTAAGTGTTTGAAGGTAAGACGTGATCTTGTTTATTTCTGAACGTGAATGTTTGCTAACACTTGTTGGCTTCAGTGTGTGTGCCAAAAATGAGTGTACATGTGTGTGAGAGTTTTTGTTTGTTTGTATGTGTTTGTCTGTGAGAGCGCGCACGCAAATGTTTTTGTCTGTTTGACATCTAGGAGAATGTGTTGATATTCTTTATACTTTTTACAAAACACTGGGTGTCGATGGTCGAACAAGTAAGCTCAAAATACAATACCTTACTAATAACATAATTAATGTCTTAAAACTTAACAGCATTTCCTTATCAGATTTATCCGCGCCACTCCCGGTGGAGCAGAAATCTCTTAAAGACGACCTTTACCCCGAACACTCTTCCAAACTGCATTTTGTTTTTAAAGCACCACCATATTATTTTGACCACTTGTCTCTTCCCAACGTCGTACGAAACTAATAGCTTCTCCACCGATTTCCTTCGCCCCTGTAAGAAATCGGGGTGATGCCCCTGGACGAAGGGCCGTTGCCTCGCATTGAGGGGGAGACAGCGTTGCGCCTGCTCGTGCCGAAATAATCGTCGTCATCTTCCACATCAGAATCGTCGTCGTAGCTGGCTTCGAATGCATCTGGAATCATGAGCGTGCCTGCGATCAGAATCAGCGTCATAGCGATCACAGTCAGCCCGAGGGACCAAGATACTTCGAAGGGATCCGGGATGGTGGTGATGAAGATGACCATGCCGATGAAGCTGGCGCCACCTAGAGGTGGGGAAAGACATGCGGTGGTTAGACAAATAGGATTTCTGTGTAGTTTTACGTATCTGAATTGTCAGCTAAGGAACTTTGTATTTGGGGTATCATGTATGCTATGTAGCGCAGAATAGTTTTTTTAAAAGTGTTCACTCCCTCCCTCCCTCCCTCCCTCTTCTCACTCACTCACATACTCACTCACTCACTCACTCACTCACTCACTCACTCACTCACTCACTCACTCACACACACACATATACACACATACACACACACACACACACAAACGCACTCACGCACACAAACACATACACACACGTACACACACGTATACACATATGCAAAATATATGCTCACCTACACACAAGCAAGTACGCATACACACACTCACACACACACACACACACTTACACACAGACACACACACACACACACACACACACACACACACACACACACACACACACACGCACACACGTACACACTAACTAAAAGAAATAAACAAGCAACGAAAAACAACACAAGACGAAAAGTAAATAAAACCAACAACAAAAAAACCCAACCCCCCTTGACAAACGTTCCTCTTCTTTTTTAGGTGTGTCAGGTCTGGAGTCTGGGGCGGACGTTGACCATCCTATTCCATCCTGTTGTCCGTCCTAATCAGATCAATTTTTCACATTGTGTTGTTTTTTATAAAGTTGTTCATGCCATCTGTGAATGGTGTTCTTCATCTTTTTCTGCTCTTCTTTCTCTTTATCTATTGTATCTGTGTATCTCTAAGTGTTTGAAGGCAAGACGTGATCTTGTTTATTTCTGAACGTGAATGTTTGCTAACATTCGTTGGCTTCAGTGTTGGCACTCACACATTAGCACAGTCTCAAGTTCTTTTGTTCTATTTATATGACCTACGAATCTCAATTGTCTTTTCTTGATGGTCCTGATTAGAGACTTTTCACATTCTACCTTTTGATACACCTTTGTGTTTGTACTCAAAACTGAAGACCTAATGTTGCTCTTTCGGTATTACACGTAATCTTTCATTCTGTGACATCGGCACTTTTCGATATCACAATTAATTCCGTTTTCTTGGCACGGCTTTCAGTACTAACCCCCCTTCTCTTTGCTTTTCAAAAGAATCTCCGTCAAACAAAGAAAAAATAACTCATGGCAATTAGACTCAGCTTCTGCTAACAAGACTATAATTTCGGTGTAGCTTAGGTTGTTCACACCGTGGCTGCTTACTTTGACTCCTTTGAGATTGCTGATGTTACGCGTAACAATTCCCTAATATAAGTTAAATACATCAAGTGATAAGGCACATCCTTGTCGTACTCTACTGCAGAATGGCCTGTACATGTATTCTGTAAGCCGGTTTTCGGCCCTGATATGACAGTCTGCCTTTTGTTCTCAACAAAGGGCTCTTAGAACTCTTAAGGCTGTTTTTACATCTATGTTCAGATCTGTCAGGATGTTGCAATTGGAAATGTGAGTATCTCCACCATGGTCAGATAAAAAAAATCTTTTGGTATGCCCCTCATACTTTTACCAATTTCTCCAAAAAGAAACTTGCAAATAAATTAGATAAATATGATGAGAGGTCCAGCAAAAATGGATAATGGTGTTCACTG